TCGGCCCGTCCCGGCGGCCTCGGGCCGCGGCGGCGCCCGGCTCGGACGGGAGGCAGGGAAAGGAGCCCCGGCAGCCCCCGTGCCAGCCGAGAGTCACCCCTCCGCCTGCCGTGCCGTCTCGCAGTTTATTAAAAATAATTGTAAACAAAAATCTGTCATAACTGGACTGACGAGTTGTGCTCTTTGCATCGCTCTTCTAAGGCGGTTGTCAGAGAAAATTCTGTGGTTCGTGTTTCACTGCGGCTGGAGCTGCTAACAGTACTTTTTTGGTGATTTCTGGAACTTTTTTTTTTTTTTTTTTTTGAGATGAGCTCTCTAAAGACATGTTTACATACTTCTGTCAGCAGATGCTTGCCTTGGATGGACGGAGAAGTGCTTTAAAATGTAGGTGGTGAAAACCCTCTGTGAAATGGGAGAGCAGATAAATACATGTATGTTGACAAAGTAACAAAGTGCAGATGTTCTAGGGAAAACAGACCTCTCCTTTATATGCCTAAATATAGACGTTGGTGCAGCAAAATGCTTCCACCTTATATAATGTTGAAACCCTTTTTTTTTTTTTTTTCAATTTAATCTCTTGATTAGAAGAAAATGATTATGAGCAAAACAAAAGCAATTAGGACAAGGTGGGGCCATGATCAGGTATCAGATGATGCTAAGTGTTCAGGCAGGTGAAAGAACACTCTTTTGAAATGCCTACACAGGTGGGCAGGATACACAGAAATAAAATTTCAGCTCATCTGCTCTTTATAGGACGTACATCTATCATTCTTGTTTTTCAAAATCTGCTAGTATTGGGAATCTAAATTAAAAAATAAAATCCTAAAATGTTTTTCTTTCATTTTTTGTTAAGCTAGGAAAAAGAATGATTCCACTTTTTGAAAGTTCATCCTTATCCCAACTACTTTATTGCTGCCAAGACTAATAGATCTGCAGTCCCTCTTGAGCTTTTAGGAATTGTCCCAGTTTCGTTTCACACAACTGAACTGCCCTGGAGGCTATTTTAAGCCATCACAACATCAGGTTCAGACAGTTCAGACATAATAATATATTATCACAGAACGTTCTGCATTGATAATTAAATGGGGATATGAAATTATCTTTCACCGTGGAATCAAAATATAATTAAGACACTTTCCCAAACTCCACTGGATGATAAACTTTCAGGTACACTGAGCAAAACAGTCCCCTAACAACTGTTTTTACTAGGCATGTCAGCATGCCAGAAACCAGCAACATATCATAACAACAAAATAATTTAATATAAGCAGAGATGCTATGAAAAAGAACAAGCTGCAAAAAATAGCTTGTTTCTTTCCTTGTAGATTCTGTGCCAGTGTCTTGTTTTATTGGGAGCATGGCTGGGTGACAGCTACTGCCCAGGGGTAGCTGGGCTGTCAGCTGGGGGGAAGGTCCCCTCACTGTGCTGCATGACCCTGTAAAGTTTGCAGCCCCCCTTTCTTTGTAGCTTGAGCAGGGACACAAATATGTGGGTTTCTCCCTCAGTGGGTTAAAACTTAGCATGTCCCATTGACATAATCCAAGTACAGTAAACAGAATTAAAAGATCAGAGAATGAGGCTCATTGTCTTCTGTGATACAGAAAGCAATAGTCAATGAAAGCATTTTCTGTGATCAAGGGTAGATGTTCAGTAATTTTTGGCGTTATACCATGCACAGATACAGTCCAAAGACACCTAACTGGTGATTCAAGTACAAGGGGAAACTGGACTGATGCCTTGTCAAAATCTCATTAATAATGCTGACCTTTCTAAATTGTCTTTCAGTTATTTTGAAATTCCTCTCATGTCCACCAAGATGGCTTTGCTCCTAACTTTCCCATACTTGCTCTCAGTGCCATTTACCCCAAATACCTCATCTGTCAACCTTCCTCCCCTTATCCACATGCTGTCTCAAGGTGTCCTTCAATTTGCACTGCTCTTCTGCTCAGTTGGTCACATCTGAAAGACAGAAATTTCCAAAGACATTGGCAAAACAGCTATGTGCTAGTAAATGTCATTCCCTCACCTGTGACTGTGTAGACATGTGCTCTCACTTTAGGCTGCTGTTGCTGGGAATTTGAGAGAGTTGCTTCCCCAGCTACAGAGCACTGACTCAGCGTCTCGGCTGTTACCTGCTCTTTCCCGGTGACCTTGTGCTGGTTCAGACAGAGCTTCTGCTACTCACTGCACATTAAAGTTAGCGCACTACCTACATGTGTTGATGATTCCTCTCCGTGTGGGGAGACACGAGGCTTGACTCCATTTCAGAAGGCTGATTTATTATGTTAGATATTATATTAAAATGCTACATTAAGACTATACTAAAAGAACAGAGAGATCAGAAGGCTCAACAAGAACGAACAGAACAGAATAACAAAAATCCTGTGACTGCTCACAGCCTTGGCACAGGTGGCTGTGATTGGTCATCAATGGAAAACAATCCACATGGACCAATCACGGATGCATCTGTTGCATTCCACAGCAGCAGATAGTAATTGTTTACATTTCTCTCCTGAGGCTCCTCAGCTTCTCAGGAGAGGAAAAATCCCAGCAAAGGATTTTCCATAATATCATGGCTACATACATGTTTATGTTATTTACTATGGCATTGTGACTTTCAAAATGGTTGCCCTCCTAGGTCTGTCATCAGTTACCTGGTAGACACTACATGGCAGTATTTTACAGCATTATCCCATCACTGTAGCTCGTTTCTAATGTACTTTATCACCTTGGCAAACTGTAAGTCAGCTCTTATGTGGATGGGAGGGAGAGGCCAGTAAGGAGCCATGTGGTTAGTTTTCCAGTGTGTAATTAGGAGCATATCCTCCCTAAGTGGCAATAGCTAAACCGCTGCTGTCTCCTCAGTGCCCTTTTCCAGTTTCTTACTTGAAATAGAAATTAGTGATCCAATTGACAGTGTATTTCCTTAGGAGAGTTTGTTTACAAAAATATTTACAGATCTCTTTAGTCACAAATTATAAGAAACTGTGTTAAGGTAATCGCAAAATAAACAAAATCTGCAGATAACTTATCCCTGTTTTGTCCAAAAAGCTTAGATTAAGAGATAGAAGAAGAAAAGCCAACAGATACCGCTCTGTAGTACTTTATAACCCTTTTTTGTTTCTCAGTATTTGCACTAAAACTGAGTAAATAGTTGGGTTTGGTTATAACATTTTAAGATGTAAAAATAAAATAATTATTCTTCTACACTGAGCTAAAACCAAGATTTTCTCAACCTTCCTCAAACAAATTAAGGAGGAGAGTCCCAAACTAGCCAGCAGTTTGCATTTGGAGGCATGTAGCAAGGATGTGGAAAACTGTTCTCTGAACTCCTGCATCCATGCTGGTTCTCTTGATATCCCTGCTTGGAACTGCAGCAGTTTGTATAAACAATTAAACACCCACTGGCCCAGGCACTCGAGTCTGAGTCAGTGTCCAATGAATGCCCCAATCATCCAGTGGTACTGCTGTTCCGTCTCTCTTAATATAGTTTTTGTTGGAAACATATCATGAGATCTCTGATTGAGACACAAGTGCTATCCTCATCAAGGCAATAGTATTTTTTGAAGAACAAGATTGTTTTGTAGATTAATACTGACCCTTGATTCCCATGAATGTAGTTATGCCATCATTGCTTTTTATGCATATTTAAAAGGCAGGGTAGAGCAGGTCTAGGTGTTCCCAGAAAACAGATTGTTTATGTCAAAAACCAATGCTGAAATAGTAAAAAATAAAAAAAATTAAAAAAAAAATAGAATAGATGTAGTAAGTAAGAACTATATTGAAAATCTTATTTTTTAAAAAAGAACAGCTCCCCCTGCCCTATCCTGACAGCTCCCAGGTGGGTTAGAGTCTGGAAGGCAGGAGAGAGCCTCCCAGGAGCTGCATGCAAAATAAGGACAAAGGTGAAGCATCACCAGGGTTATGTATCACAGGTTACTTCATCTCTCTGTGTCAGAACTATTTAAAAGTGTGAGAAGCATTATTTTGTTTTATTTTCTTTAAATTATGTTTATTAGCATGTGATACAATCTCGGTTCTCCCAACAGCCTGTCCTACTGCCCACAAACTGTGAGAAATACACAACACTCGCTGAGGTGTTACTCCCCAAGTGAGGGAGGGGGAAGGACTTTTGAAGCAAAACAAGGAAAATAATTTGGGCCTGCAAGATCTGCAGTTTGCAGGATGTCAATCAAGCTTACTATTTCTCTGCTTTGGGGAGAAAAAGTCTTCTCCTACTGTTTCCCAGGAAGGAACAGCTGCAAGAACTGAAAGTGTCTGCATCTATTTTCCTCAATAAACATGGGAATATTTAGTTTCAGCAAAACCAGATGGTTTACGCCCTGCGAATATGCTGGCATTTGACACCAGCAGCCAGTTTCACAAAGTGCATGCAGAGAGTGGGAAAGAACTCCTCTAAACTCTGGGACCTGACACAAGAAATGAAAGCTCTGAAGGCAGAAATGACAGATTGACTAAAAACCCAACCTTTATCCAGGGATCTCCAAGTGCTCTCTAAATATCATTAATCAGACTACATAACAGTCCATGAAGTGATTAAATTTTGACACACATTTCTTACACTGAGGGTTACACTCAAAATGAGAAGGTAAATAAGTTCCTCGGGGTTATGTGGTGAGTCATGGTCTGGTCTCCTGCATGCTCTGTCTACGTCTCTCCTCACTAATGCATCTCCAGTGTGCTGTGTCCTCAGCCATATTCCCAGGACACGATTTTTAAATGTGAAACCATTACAGTTAATGGCACAGGGACAGGACTGCAGTGTTTGCAGCATAAATCACCATAGCTGGGGCATCTGAGTGCTCTATGGGGAATTTATAACATGCTAAAGAGATTTATGAACAGCCCTCAAACCTCTTGCTAATGGCGGTTGCAGTGGGTGTTAAGTGACTGAAGATTCTTAATTATTTGATGATTTTTATTGATTTGTGTTATTATTGCTTAACATGACTCTGTAGTAACAAGGCATCTGTCAATCTGAGAGTGTTTTCCAGCCAGTGAATTATTAAAGTGTGTGATTCTTATAGGTGCTTACTGTTCTGCTGGACTGCTGGGAGGCTGATGTGGTTTGCTCAAGAATACTCATAGCTTGCAGGGCAAGGCTACAGAGGAGCTTTGGGCATCACATTCAGTGATGGATGCACCACATGTTCCTGAGCCAAATCTGCCCCTACTGACTCTCTGTAGGCTTGGGAAGGATCTCTTTTTACCTGCAGTTTCAGGGGGAACCTTCCCACAAAAGCACATTAATTCACAGGTTAGTGAAATATGTATTTACAGCGAATCACTAGGTATTGCTTCTCCTTAGAGCTACAGCCATGAGCCCTAAAGGGGTTCTAGTCCTGGTTCAGGACACAGCAAAGGTCTACAGTATCTCCTTCAGTCTCCTGGAGAAGAGCTGTGTTGTGCTCCAGTTTATCCCATCGTCTGCATGATGGAGGGTGTGCCACCGAGCACACCTGCCCTGCAGTTGAGGCAATGCTATAATTTAATATACTTTGTGATCAGCATTTTAAGAGTTTGAATTTGCTATTTCTCCATTATGTAATTACATAATAATAATAATTTAGCTAGCATAATATACGTGGAGTTTTGCTGTTGCTTCTTATGTAAATTAGAGATATTTAGCAATATGTTGCAAAATGGATATGTCTATTTCAGATTGAGATGTAAGAGGTTACTTTGATTCAGAATAAAATAAAAAGATGTTGGAAAGACCTATTTTATAAAGAAATGACTATTTAATTATAACTCTTTATCCCATGGCTTATTCACTAAAGTAGAAACTGCAGAGCTTCTAAGTGTTTAAATTTTAAAAGAAGACTAAACAAAGCCCCTCTGTACTTCTGTCTCTTTAGAGAAATTCAGATATTTAAATGTAGGTTCATAAACTGAAATTATATACAAATGGGGATTTGAGCCTGAATTTTGAAAAAGCAGCATGAACAACTAACTAAACATTAAGGAAATAGCTAATCTTTAGGTAGAAAAGAACACTTATTTTAGTTGTTAATCTGCTTATAAGAAAGAGAGACACTCTATATTTGAAGTGTGCTCCAGAAGAACTTATAAGGAAACTTAAAGTCAAATTTACATATCAAAATGTGTCAGACAGCTTGACTTCTGCTAAATTGTAACAAACACTTCTCATTCCTATTAAATTATGTGGCATTTTATTACCTATTAAGTAATCTAACTTAACCCTGTTGTTCCAAAAATAGTTCACTCACATTCAGTATGGCTCAGAACAGGAGGTGGGTGAGACCACAACAGTGAGTCACATTGACAGGTTTAAGCCTTGAGTCAGCAAAACCTGGCCTTACTCTCAGACCTGGGTGGGCTTGATTCAGGGTAGGCCATAGCTGTCATTTGAGTTTGGGATTGTACACTTGCTGTCCCAAAAGTGTATCCCAGAAACACACGTGGCCGTGGCTGGCCATGCTGCTCTTTCCCTGGTGCCAGCTTTGGCTGGCGTTGGTCATTCCAAGCTCCTGCTCTCCCACCCCACTGTGATTTGCCATCCTTGCCACTGTGCTGATGTGTTTCTGGGCCTGCACTGCAAGTCAGGTGTCTGCAGTGATCCCGATGAATAACAACTCCCTCTGGCTCTCTGGAAAGCAGTACCTTTAACCCACGTTGCTCTGGGTGACCTGGTGTACAGCAACCTCCCAAAGACGCGTGTCTCAGCCCAGCTGAGGACTGAACTCTGTGCTTTGAGGCTGGAACTGGCAGTGGCTGGTGGAGGGGGGGCTGAGCAGCCCCCAGAGCAGTGGGGTAGCTGTACCATCAGCGGGCGAGCAGGGAGGCTCCAGCCCCAGCTGCGGCTCTCGCATCCTCCTGAGTCATCCCCTGACTCCAGATAAGCGTTGCGCCTTATCGTGCCTCAGCCTGCCACCTGCAAATCAGTGATAACAACATTTAAATAATTCAGAAGAACGTAGCAAGGCTTAATGGAGGTTTGTAATATGTTTTAAACTCCTTACATACAGTAGTGTGGAATTTAAGGTATCGCTGTTACGGAGCGTGTTGCTAGTAGTGCTGTCTTCCTTTAATAATCCCTGCAAACTCCCTGTCTTCCTACTCTCATTATCAGTGCTAGGCTTTGGTGTCATTGTGTTGCTTGGACACCTTCTAATTTAAATATCATGTTTTGATTTCTGAGTGATAACTTCAAACACCAATTTTCTTCTGTTACGCTATGCAGCCTTTTGCTCATTTTAATGAAACCTAGCAACCATAATGTAAATTGGAAATAACTACAGCCCATTAGACTATTGAAATCTCTGAAGATTTGAATTATTCACTATTAACAGAACTTGTATAATTATAGGTTAAGATATCACTTAGGCATTTAGCATACATCAGCTCCACTGTTAATTTTTAGCTCTTGATCTGTATTAGTAACCTCAGCTTGCTAAATTAAAGGATATGCCTCCAATTAGCCTAAATTTAACATTCAAGAACACATCTCTGGTGGGATGATGCTTTTAAGTTTAGAAAATCCAGGCAATTTCAGCTGATCTACTAAGTCTCTATCACAAGTGGAAGAGAAAACATTTTCTTACAAACATTTCCGTGACTTTCACAGGGGTAAAAGAATAAAGAACAAAGCTGCATTTTTGTAAGATCCAAAGCCAAAAGTGTGACAAGCATTGCAATCCCCTGTCCCTGTAGGGATCCCAAAAAATTTGTACCTGGGACAGAGGCAGTTGGGTCATTGAAAGACGACCTTCAGAAAGCAAAACACTTAGTCTGAGGCAACAAGAAAGCATTGAGATACATAGAGAAAAAGGGAGAGCACTAACATTGTTAACAAAAAAAAACCCAAACCAAACCAATAGAGTAAACAACAAACAAGCAGAAAGTTGTTACTTTTGCCCAAGAACCTTGCCTGTGTTTAACACATCAGGGCTGAATAGAACACTTCTGTTTGTGCACTGAACAAGTTAGGTATGTACTACAGTGCAGGCAGATGTGGCACCTGTGCAATGTGTGGTTCTCGCAAAGTTTGGTGCTCTAAAAACAACACTGCACAAGCTGAGTGTCAGAATTAAGCAGCGTAAATCCCTCATTCAAAGCTGAGCTCCTTTTTTGGGATTGTCCCCAGGAATCTTCAGCATCTTCTTTCCAATTAAATGACCAGAGTGCTTTCTGATCAGAGTAAACTGTAATTGTCTGGTTAGGGATCTTAATAATAGGATTTCAGCTACCACTGGGAAGTTTTAACTCCTTCTTGAGGTTAAGAAACTTGGCTGCAGTATCTTTGATAACACTCAACATTTGTCTTTTTTCTTCTGAGAGCAATGAGATTACTTTCTGTTTGCTAGTGTATAAGTTAACTCTTCTGTTCCACCAGCAAGGAAAGATTCCTGGTAACCATCTGTGTATTTTTCATACCATTTGATCCCTGCTTGAGATGATTTGCTCGCAGTACATAGTCCTAGGTGATCACACTTCCACTTCTGGAAAGCCCTTTTAAAAGAGGTAGCTAGAAAATGGTTTAAGCTTCAAAGCAGATGATGAGTCTGTTCACATGTGCTGGTCAGAAGTTGGAATAGAATCTTAAAGCTTTTGTCTTGGCCAACACTGAGAAAAAAATACAGCTTTTGACAGTGTCATCTCTTATATCCATAAATTCAATAAAATACATTTCAGTAAACATGAGTGATCTTGTTAATGAGGAGAAATGCAGTCCACTTGGTAGCTGTATAATTGTGTCAAAAGTATAATTCAAAAAGTGGTTGCTAATATTGATGAGTGTCTCCATAGGGAAGCTCTGGGTGATAACAAATCCTCTTGCTGGGAAATCTGCTTATAAACTTATAATGGCAACCATTACAGAGAAGGGAGAAAGCACTAAACTGGAAAATGCTATTAAAAATGTAATAGGACCCAAATTATTCAAAGATTAGTCATTACATTCATTCAGCAAAACTTGTTGCAAAGCGTGGATTTTATTGGAAACAATTGGAATCAAAAGATTATACTACTAATACCTAACTATGGTGTATCCAGAGCAAATGAAAAAGAAAATTAACATTTTCAGCTCACAGCACACTGAGGATTTTTCCTCAGGGTTTTTTTCTTTCACTAAGGAAATTGGACTGTGTCGTATAAAACCTTTTGTCATGCTAAGAGTCACTGTAGAATGTGCATCTTTTTAGTTAGACCTCCAAAATTATGGGGGTGCCTCGCACGTTAGACAATTCCTTCTGGCCATGCCATATTCCAAAACCATAATGCCCATAGTTATCCTGCCAGCCTCCAAATGAGGGCTTTGGTTGATGAATCCTGAGATTTGTGACATCCTCCATGTGCTTGCAGTCCTGTTTCTGAGCAATCAGGTGTGGTCCGAGCACAGGCAGTACTGGTACTCCCAACGCCTCTGTTTCAGGAGGCTCCTTGAAGTTTTCATTCCTTTGGCTGTATTGCTTGTCCCTGATGCCAGCATTATTTGTGTCCCATGTAAAGCAGATGCCATCCAGTATAAAATCCAATAACAGCTCTGAGAGTAAGGACCAAAACTGAGGTGCCTGACTAATTCAAGGCAGCTCACTGATGAGCACATGGGATTTTTCATCACCCTTTGGAGGCTGCTTACTCTACTCTGTGGTTGCTGGGAATGCCTGTATGCCTGACTTGAGTGCTTTGAATCACCCTACATGGACAGAGACTGACTTCTCAGCCCTTGCAATGTCTCAGTAGAGCTGCCTAAGCAGTCTGGCCTCCTCCTCTGCCTCTCCTTGTGTGGGTTTATGCCTGAACCCTTGCAGATTTCTCTTTAAAACTGTCAAATGTGTAAGGAGTTTGGATTTCTCTCATCTACTCTGGAATTTTACCTTTAATTACTTAGAACAAAGACTTTTCCCATTCTAATTAAACACCTTTTGCCTCCAGTGCAGACTATTTGTGCTTTTACATGATCATTTACTTTTAAGATTCTGAAAGCATTTTTCACTTGCATACTCCAGATGGCTTGCCAGTGACAACATTCATGCATTTAGTTCTTTTCTCTCATTAAGCCTGTGGATTTTCAAAATATTTCTGGAACACAATCTTACAGTTTTCTCTCTCTCTCTCGCTTTTTCTTTTTTCCCTTTGCCCTTTTCAACCCAAATGCAAGAAAAAGTACAAAATAGCTGTTTCCATGTCTGACTTTGATGTTGGGGTTTTTTGGATGGGGGAAGAGTGGAAAGGGTTCAGGCAGAGCTTACTAAATTAGTGATTTCAACAGTCAGAAATACAACGGGCAGGTACAGTACTGCTCAGTTGCTGTAATACTTTAAATCTGACCTCCTGCCCAGCCTTCCTGGGTACATCTGCTCTGTGAATTGGAAGAATGAGCCAAACTATTGACAACCTGAGCTGGTAAGGTTTCCTCACACAGCATCACACAGATGCAGTCTAGCCATACCAACCCATTCACAGACAAGAAAAAAGTGTCCTGCAGCTGGTTAAGGCAGGCAGAGCCAGCAGCTGGATGGGGTGAGGGAGAACCTGTTCCATGCAGGGCACAGCCTGCCCGGTGTCCCATAACATCTCTAAATGCCTTTTGTCCCAGCTACACCTGTGCACCGATTAGTAAGGCAGTTAGAGCTGGCATGAGTTACACAGGAGGGAGAAAAGTCATAGAAATGTGTCAGTAAGTAGGAGTAGGACAAGCAGACTAATTTTTTTCCTTTTTTTTGTACTTCCCCGGGTGTTGCTTTTCTCATTATACCACTCTCTGCTAGTGGGGGAATCCCATTAATGCAGACTCTCTCTAAAGGATCAGGCCTGATCCTCCCTCTCAGGTGGGCTGGCATCCTTCTGTTGACTTCTGAATGGGGTGAGAGTCAGACCCACTGTGTGGCTGGGGAAGGGGAGGTTTTGGAAAACAAATTATGCTTTGTTAAATGGTTAGAAGACATGCTGACTTAAATAAGCACTTAGCTCCCATTTACACTTGAAAGTTTCGTCGTGCTGGTAGAGTTCTGCCAGTAAACTCCTCCTACATAATTAGAGGCTCTTTGCCTATAAGATGCATTCCAGTCTGGCAAGCAACATAAGCCATAACATCAAAACCACCACTTCTTTTTGATTTTTTTTTTTTTATTTTTTTTTTTCCTGGTGTTATTGTGTCTATGTAAGAGCTTTTGTTGAAGTAGTTATGTCATAAATCAAAAATCACCCTAAAAAACACAAAGCCTTCAAGTACAAACTAAAACCTTGTCTACCCAGCCAGATGTTACCGTGCTTTAAATACAGTTATGGAAAATCAAGGTAAATTTGTTGGAACGTGCTGACCACAACTGAACAGTCATCAGCGATGAAGTTAAATCCCATTCATCACTACATGAGCTAACCCTATATCCAGAGTGGTATAATCTAATTTGACTTTTTCATAGCTGTGGTTGGACAGGGACTGTTTAACTTGCCTTAAACTATATCAAATTTTAATAGGGCCAGAATGAAATCTGCTTTATTTCAGTTTATTTTTCACTAGCATTATAACATATTTATTCTGACATCTGTTACTTTGGTTGTCATCTCAATTAAGAGTGTTAAGCATTCTTCCTTTTAGGCTTTCATATTCATTTGCCTTTTTTTTGATACCATGAACTCTAAGCAAATCTGAGATCCCAATGGGAAAGAAATGTTTGTCACTTTGATACTCCACTGGATCTTTAAATGCAGACCCCGTAAAATTGTTTAATTGCCTAAGTTAAACTATTTTCAAGCATTAATATAGCGGATTATCAATACAAATGACAATATATCTTCTTAGCTGAGTATCACTTTCTAAAGGATGTCATTAGGCACACTCAGATCCACTTTCCCCAGCAGACAGTAGTTTGGTCTTTCATTTCTAATAGTCTACCACATTTTAATATATT